ACCTACCCTAATTTTAAGTCCCTACCCTAACACTTTTTATGCCATTTTTGAACCAGCACTGTTAAAGTCAGACTGATTCCCTAGTAGTAACCAGCTAAAAAATGTTTGTAAAAAATGATATTGCCTACCTACTTACCTACCTATTTTCAGCACATTAGCGGAAACACACATGTTATTTTTTGGCCTTATTTTTTTTAGGGGGGACCAATATCCCCATAAGTTTTTGCAAAATTAAGCTAGGCCTGTACCCCTTAACATAAACATAAAACAAATATCCCCCGAAATTTTTTCCCACAGTATCCCATATCCATGTTTTGCTTATTATTAAGCATTTTTTAACATATTAGACTAAAGGATGTTATTAATAACTAAAATCTGTTTTGTTGAACCTGTATTGTTGAGAATTTTTTCTGTTTACGGTTTCTAGCTATCTTCTTAAGTTTTTGCCCAAAACACAAAAAAGTTTTTAAACCGTCATATAAGGGCAATAACTCCTATAGGCAGACATGCATTCTATCTATCTATTATAGTTTTCAAGATAATAGGCAAAAACGAAAACAAACGGTATAAAAAAAATCTTCATTTAAGGGAGATAACTCCTAAACGGAGTCAATTAACGATTTACTTATTTAAAGATCTGGTCTTGCTGATTATTTTTGCATTTAAAGTTTGTATCTATCTATTATAGGTTTCAAGTTAATACGAAAACCTATGAAAAATGGTAAAAATCGTCATTTAAGGTCACATGTAACTTGTGTTGAAGAATGAAACAAAATAACGGTTTCTTCGTTTGTTATTTCTGATAAATAGAAATATACATTTATATTTTTATTTTTACTCTCAGTAGTACCATCCAAGGACACGAAACTACATAACACTTACAATTAGTTGTCATGAAAAATGCTTGGATACAATAAATGCACAGAAGCTGAGATTGATTGATGTTTAACGTCACTTTCAGCACTATTGTGCTATTTCGTGGCGGTCAGTTTTTATTGGTGGAGGAAGCCTGAGTACCCGGAGAGAGTCACCGACCCTCGGTAGGAAAACTGACAATCCTAGTTAATTAGGATTGGAGTTAAGCTCACCTACCATGTGCGGGATTCGAACTCACAAAATCAGTGTTGACAGACTAGTGATGCAGTAGTTCGACTAATTATACCACTCAGCCATCGAGGCCCCTCAGAAGCTGAGAAGTTTGTCAGGAAAAAAATCAGATCTGACTTTTAATCAACGTAATGCGTAGTTGCCGAAAAACCAATCAACAGTACTGCTTTCGTCACAGAACATTGTTTTTCTTGCGGTTCGCATTCTTATTTATATTAAATTCATAAAACTAAAATTTTAAATGGACATTAGCTACGAATTAGACATAATGTTAAAAGACTTGTTTTATGTTTCAAACATTTATAAAAGCGGAGTATAGAAATAATATTTCGCTGTTAGCAGTCAGTTTGGTTAAAATTAGCCAAGCTAAAAACATAGTTGATGTATTATTAGCTTGCAAGTCAATAATTCAACTCACTTGAGTCCGTGTTATTGCAACCTTTAATTTGACCTTTAGTGGAAAAGGTTGCGCATTTGTTCAGCATATGGTTCATTCAGTCAAAAAATAAGAATGTCAACATTGAAAAGTGAAAAAAAGGGAGACACCAGGAATAACCATTTCATTGAATGATCTGACCCACAAAAATAATTATTGTACAGGTACAACAATGATATAAATATTAAGTTGAACCTCGTTAAGTCAAAGTCGAAGGGATCGGATGAAAGTATTCGACTTGTCCGAGATTCGACTCATCCGAAGTCGAGTGTGTCTTAATAAATAGTGTATTTATAATCTATAACATGATATCAAACAGACCTAGAAAATCGCTATTATACGACAGCACGTCCAGGTCTGTTTATTAGGTCTTTCCACTTTTCCAAGGAAAGACCTACTGATTTTGTTCTGATGATTATTAATTTTTTTCTTCCGCTAAACTTTATTTCTTGTGCTGTATGTTTCTTTCGCAAGATGTCGCTTATATATTTGGTATGTTATATCGAACAGTTAGTGCTTTTTTGAAACTGACACCACTTAACATAACACTTTTCTTTGTAAGAGTTATCTCCCCAAACACTGTTTTTCTTGTTATGACTCTCTTTTGCAAATGTAAAAGAAACCGACATTTTTTTTCCAAATTGTTCGTTTTATCCTCAGGATATTATGAGAAATTGGACCGAAGCGATACATACATTCCATATGAGAGTTATATTTATGTGTGCAACATAAGTGAAATATGATTGTCACAGGTAAACCATAAGTGATAAAGACCTAGTGTCTATTGATATGAGGTCCTTAGTCCTTAAAAAAGAAAATGAGGTCAAGGTCAAAGGTCAAGGTCATATTCTAAATTTTGTCGCTTCTCCTCATAAACCGTACAAGATATCGACAAAATATTTTTACTTATCTCTTAGTTGCGACATGTTGTAACATATATATTTTGTTGAAAGGATATGGTTACATTAAATGGGAGTGTCCTCCCCTCCAGTGTTTAAAATGAGCTGTATTGGGATATAACTCATTAACCATATGCAGTAGAGACCAGGGTCTTTTGATTTAAGGTCCTTGCTTTATGATCTGGTAATTTAGGTCAAGGTCAAATGTAAATTTGACGTTCCAGATTTTGACCTTTGTTATAAATTCATGTTTATACATGATAAACCCATGGGGTCTTTTGCATTAGGTTTGTAGACATATAACCTTAAAAAGGTCAACCTGAAGTTACCTTTTGTAAACCGGAAGTAGCCATTTCCTGCACTGATTACATTCAAAAATACCTAGAACCATATATTTTGGAATCAGTGATAAGATGATACAAAAAAAAAAAGAAATTTTGTAAACCGGAAGTAGTAACTTATCTCCTTTATTTCACCAAAAGTATATAGAAACCATATATTTTTGGAATCAGCATAAAGTGAACTATTTTTGGACTTAGGAAGTGATTATGATTTAACCGGAAGTGGCTTATTATCTACTTTAATTGATATAAAAGTGCCTATAACAATCCGTGTGTGATAAGCTATCTTTTAAGACTAGACATACTGTTTTCTATCCAAATTTTCTTATATTAAGTGAATTTGAGTGAAAAGACTATGTTCTCTGAACAATTGGGTTTTAATTTATATTTATGTTTGTATCGGATTATATGACCGTCGCAGTCTTTGGAGGTCATCTCGATGGATAGTTAGTTGGCGTCTAGTCAAAAATACGCACGAAATGCTGATACATTTTGACGGGTCCATGCAATGTTAATTGTTTCTCTTGGATTTTTGTAATTTGAATAAACGTTTAAGTATGTTTTATGTTTTAAATCAAATATAAAATTTGGGTCAAAACGGTGGACAAAAATTGACACCTAAAGCCCTGTAATCAAGTATCAATGTGTTATTGCAAGATAAAAGCAATTTATCATGCCCTCGTAACACTATGGTACAATTGCACAGGCACTTGTCTCTGAAAAAAATACCTATATACTTCAATATAACACGTATGTAATATGTTATATCAAAGTATGTAGGAATTTTTTTTTCAGAGACCAGTGCCTGTGTACAATTGCAATAATAGGTTTTCAAATAAAATTTAGCTTTTTCTATATGTTGTCTTGTATTTTAAGCGGAGGGTAACCTTAAAACTACTGTTAACTTCACAATTAATTTTAGAGCTCTCTTTGCGGTCCGCGGGTAAGCAATGTTTATTTCTATTAAAAAATCAAACACACAGATACAGAACAAAAATAGCCTAATGCTTAGGAGTCAATGTTTAATTAAAAACAACATACAAACATTGCCGGAAAATACAGAATTAGTCTTTACACTCGACACACCTCGTTATTCTTCCTGTTTCTTAAACTCATACAATTAAATTATATATTGTTACTTTTCTGACAATGTACAACGAAGCAGGAGTCTTGCTTTACGTTCTGTTTCATAGTAAGCTTGTTCAAATTCCCTTTTTTATAACGATGGTATTTCTCGAGTAGTCTATGAAAAAAAATAAAAGGTGCTCATTTTGATTATTCTAACAAATGTCTTTATTAAAATTTCTTTTCATTTTTCAGTTTGTTTAATTTTTCAAGGAGTTCGGTGCATTCTGCACTCACAAACGTACCAATAATGCAAGTCTTACAGGAAATCATTAAGCCATATATCGACTAAAAATAAAATAATATCTGAAGGAGCTTAACAAAGAAATTTATTTTTATCACTAAAATAAAACACTGCAATGAAAATGTATTTCATTGGAAGTTAAAAATGAGAATGTTTTTTTTCAAGTTCTCAAGCATAAACATATGTATCCACTTGAGTGAAAAGGAACTATTATATTCCAATTATTATTTTGGGGGGATTAAACACTCATCAAGCATAACAAGAAAATTAAGAAAATAATTGTGCCGACTGAGCAAGTAACACTTGGTTCAAACTTTCAGTGTATTACGATAGACGAATAAGATAGGAGCGCACTTTTGGTACTCTAAAAATTATTTCCACATCATTTCATGATATTATTGAAAAGATGTCAAATATTATATATTTTAAAGTTCAAATTTTAAAAGTGCCGTTTACCTACTATTGACTTATTCAACTGTAGGCGTTGGATGCAAGCTTACGAGTGTAGTAGCTTTACGGGGCGTAGAAACTTGAAGATTTAACGAAAGTATAAACTACAGGAATTCTCAAAATTCAAAATTCTTTTGCCAATGTCTGATTTTATAAAGGGATGAATTTAAATAATAAATGATTCTTCGATGACATGTTCTATGTGGAGTTGTTGTCCTTGTCTAACATATATCTTCTTAGCATTCAAATTATTGTCTTATCCTACGAAATTGCTGATTTTCTTCCTGAATTTAATCTGTGTCAATGGAACAAACCTGCAATACCTTTATTTTGACTGTTTTTCCAGTCAATAATAAGGAAGTATGATTAAAGTATCAATAATATTACCTGAAAATAAATTGTACCGATTGAACACGTACAATAGTACTATACTTAACAACAATTCACTCATGGATCGTTCTCACAGATCAATCAAGATTTAGTAGGCGTGCATATATATATCATGGTAAAATTTGACTGTTGTACTTATGTCGATTTATAATTGTTTTGTACGCTCTGTCAAACACATGTATATATCGTCTGAAAATGTCACATATGGATAGAGGTGACACTACATGTTGGTGCTGTTCGAACTGTGTTGGATTAAAGAGAATTTTTGCTAGATTCTTTGTGGATTTAAGCATATGGATAATCGGTAAGTAATAAAAATATCACTTCCTTTATTTTGATAATTTATAATAAACTTTTTGGCAATTAAAAATATAGATTGGACAAATAAGGTTTTACAGTACATTCATTTAATTATTATCTTAAAAGACAAATGACATATACTTGAAAGCCACGTTGTGAATACGATATAAGATATTCATTAAAACAAAACTAAAAAGATTGTAAATCTAAATTTGGTCATGAATTTATGTCATATAATCCTTTCGAATAATAGATAAAGTGGTATCAAAACTATTTGTAGGGTAAATACAGTATAGATAAAACAATACAACGGTTGTGTACTAGGAGAACTATATACTTTATAGATTAGGAACTATTGTTATACAATAAAGAATGTCTACATTGTACCACCGTGGTATTGATATTTCAAATTACTTGAACTTGGTCATGTTATTGAATAATATGAGTAATATAAAAGTTAAAAAAACCTTTAATTTGGTTAGTATTGAGTATTTGTACCGCACAATGTATAGAGCATTGAAAGATTTATAGTTAAATAACCTGTTACTTTCATGAAAAAATTGGCATTTAAAAATAAAAATGAAATAAAAACAATCTTGTGGAACGTTTTCCTTTGAATTGCTTATACCAGACAAAGAGTAAACACGAGTGTATAAAATAACTGTTTGATCATTTGCATGTGCTGATCATTTTAATTCAGTTAGTCTTAAGTTAAGCTTTACATCAATCTGCATTTCTACATATACTAACACAATTTATTTTCATTTCACTTCTTTCTAATTAAGAACTCGATGAAATTATATCGTTTACACAAAGAAACGAGTTCTGCAGGGTAAAGACATACTCAACCGTCCAACACGAGCCCCTGCATTGAAAGGGGACATCTCTTTGTGCAGGATTTGAAAGTAGAACAACTAAATTCATCAATACCCATTTCAACCGGTACCACTACACCGATGTTTTACACCGGCATTAAAAATTATTAGCCCATTTTGTACTTTCGTCCACACGATTTAGAATGTTATAATTTATTTATTTTTTTTACTTGATTTAACTTCTTGAATACCAATGAAATATTTGCTGTTCAGCATGTGAAAAGTAGAAAGATACAAAGGGGACATTCAAAAACCATAATTAGAAGAAAGACATACAACACTGTGGCCAAGACAAAACAAATTAACAATGTGTACTATTGGTAGGTTCTGCAAGTAGGGGTCGACCGGGATAAAGGGCGGGAAATTTTGATTTCCACTGGAAAATAAGGGTAAGTTGGATTGGGACAAAAATTTCTTTGATATGGGCCACCTACTGTCCACTCAAAGAGTTGTTACAGGTGTCTGTAATGTACAACGGGAGTACAACTCCTTCTGCACGATGCATCGGATTTAACGTTCCTATTCCGACCGGACGTAGCTGTGTATTTATACATCTCATACACCCAAGCGGACGGCCCACTTTGGAAAGGGTTTTACTGCCTTAGGGTGTACTGTTTGTTCATTATGAAGTTGACTATTGAAAATATATATCAAATTAGGATTTTAACCCAGATTTGCCTGTTCCCTGAACATGGAAATGTATTGGGTTAAAGTTTTGGTTTGAGGTATGATAACGCTTTGGTTTAAGGTATTTGTTATGTGGTCACGTCAACTGAAAACCTAGTACACATGCTCATTACGAATTGAAATGTTCAAGATATATGCACAATTAGGGTTTTGACCCAGATTTTATGGTTCAGCAAACATGGAAATGTAATAATGCGAGCGGGGTATGGTGGCCCATGGGCACATATTTTTGTTTTCATGTATATAAATATTAGAAAGTTTATTTTCTAATCAGGAAGAATTTAACTATTGAAAAAACAATTGAATAATAAAAAATGTGTTCCTTCCTGTAAATAATTCCATCAATGAAAAATGATATAATACTAATTCACACGCACGGATTCTTAAAAGTTATGGCAAATTTCTCCAATAATTGTTTGAATCTTTATATGAACACGGCAGTGAACATTACTGTAATTTGAATATAAAACAGCATTTACATATTTATATACGTGAAAGATCTTCCACAAATTAACATACACTCATAAAGTTAAATTGTTATCTTCAGAGCTATACGTTACTTTTGAAGACAACTTTGATATAATACTGTAATATTACAATTTTTAAAGTTTTTGTGTGTTTTTTGGTATTTTTTGATGTGGGTAATATTACAGTATTATATCAAATGAAGCTCCTAAAAAATATAATTTTGCATCGAAGTGCAACCGGATTCAAAAGAAATTATTTTTTTGTTTGAAAGACATGCCATACTTAGATGCATTACTGAAATAGAATTGGTTATGGTTTTGAATGTCTTTCCTGTTCATTCTCGAGATACATATTAAAACATTACCGAAATCTATCAAACTTGCAGTAATTAAAGTAAGGGATACACATGACATCCACCATACGAAATAAACACAATAACATCATACAGTTTATTCCGTGATGGTTTCGTTACTCTTCCCGTTCGAGCCATCTAAAGGCATTTATTTGTTTACATGCTTAAAAGTTCTATCAAATGCTTAATAGAAGCTCAAAATACACACACTGATAGGCTGTAACACTGTGAATTTCATAAGGATTTTAGTACTTTTTGAAAATGACTCATCTGTCACATTGATACAGAGTAAATTTCCCCTCTCTCGTTACATTAATGTATCATCGAAGTTCATGATCAAGTCATGACTTACTATTTATTTTCTATATGTATCTGTCAAGACACTTACGGAGGACCGGTTGTTAATAGTGTGGGCTTCCCTTTCCTATTTTTTGAGAGGGTTCCACTCTACGTATAGTAAAATAACCACCACAACACATATATTTGAAGGAACTATATGTTACATATTGCTTATAAGTATTGGCCCGGATCAACATGTCTCCAGTAAAACTCCAGGTATGCATGTGGTCATTTGATTGTTTACAGCTTGAGTATTGCTGTAATTATTGTCCACTGAAACGGTCTAATAGAGGATTAACGTCGCTATTTTGTTTAATACATGCTGCTGTTGTGACTTGCTTTGGAAATGCTTAATTTCAAGATGTTTCTTTGTTAAATCTTTCCATGAACAGATGTTATTTTTCCTTTCTAATCGTTATATAAAAAAGGGATCCGTTTCCATGACTTCCCCCGTCTAGGTCTAGTATTGAAAGAAGTGTGTGGCTATCACATTTATTATCCACTGTCCGACCTAGTATATTGCACAACTTCATGAATGGCCATATCTGATTGAGGTCTTTGCTGTAACTAATTATAACATTTTATTTGCTTTCAAGTCACATTTACTGAACATTTATCAAAAAGGCAACGTGGAAGTCTGTTCATTTTTATTGTTGGAGTAAATGAAAATACTTTTTTTAAAGGAAGCCACGTCATAAAATGATTTATTGTGAAAGAATTAAAAGCTAGTCAAAACTTCATAATAGTCGGCATATCTGATTGTTTTCTTTGCTGTAACTAATTATTTCATTTTTTAAAATTGCTTTCAAGTCATATTTACTGAACAGTTATTGAAAAGGCAATGTGAAGGTCAATTCTTTTTTGTTTGCTTGGAGTAAATCAAAATACCTTTTAAAGGAAGCCACGTCATACAATGATTTATTGAGAAAGAATTAAGTTAATGACGATTATTCAATGGGATAGTTTAATAATGATAATGATGCAAAAATGTTTGAAAAACATACTATCTACCACGAAATATCTTCAATTGTCAAGCAATATCCGACTTTGAAGAGCATTTCTTCCGGTAAACACACTGATGATAGTAAGAAGTGCCTATATTATCGTCTATAGTTCGGATTACATTGACATGGTTTGATAAGAATAAGGAGGATATTAATAACAAAAAATTGTCACAAATAAGGTCAAATAATTAGTTTGCGCAGTTATGTGCATTAAATGTGTCAACTATACACTAGTATAAACACTAATGTCAATTTCAATGTAATAAATGATCTACTGAGATACCAAACCCATCCAAGATGAAGGATGGGTGAGCTAATTTTTCAAGGAGTGGTAGTTGTTAGGTTATTTTATATCAAAATGATTTTGGTACATAAGTGAAAATTTGCCGATCATATCCTACCTACTTTTCCTGCATTTCCAATAATGTTCAAAATTATATTAAACGTGTCCAAAAAGAAAGAGAAATAAGATATACATGACAAAAATGTGAGTTCATGTCCTGGAAATACACGAAATATTGCTACCAACAAAACATTACATACCACATGCAATTATGATACAATCTGAGCTGAAAAAAGTTTTATAAAGAATATGAATGATAATAAAAGAGATGTGGGACAAATGCCAATAAGGCAGCAACACAAAGACACGAAAATACCCCAATCTAGAAGTCTTCAACATTAGACAAGCGCATATATATTATGTTAAGTTCTAACTCGCTCCGAATCTAGAATATTGTAAATAAATTAATTAGACTTCAAAGATCAATCACCAATACTAAATTTCCTAAAGGTCAAAAACATTAAGATATAAGTGAAGATAACCACTAAATAACGAAGTCCCTTATATAGTGCAGACACAGGAACAAATTGCAATTTAAACTATAGTGTTTTATTAATCAGTCCTTAACCTTTTAATTTTTATCAGTATGAAAACAAAAAATACATACCAAAAATCAGTACAAATAGCACTCAACTCTGTAATACCGGTATAATGGACAACAAAAGTAAACAATATTAAAGTATACTGTATCAAAGAATGTTGGCAGTCACTGAAAGCAAGCTAAAAGTACTTCACCTGCTGATACTGGAATCTTGTCGCCCTATCTCTAAAATTGATAGCACATCGAAGTAGAATTCAAACAAAAACGCAATGAACAGTGCAGGAAGACAAGATCATGAGCAATCTCCAAAGTAAAAGTGTATTTCACCGTTTGTTTTATAAACCAAATTTTTCGATTGGAATGCCGGTAAGAACTTAGTCTTTTACATGTGTTTCGTGTTTCAAATACTGGAAGATGCTGATACGTTTTAGGAAAAATTTGGCCGTTTAACAATGCTTATAATACTACATTGAATTGCAGGTCTAGAGAAAGTGCTAGAAGTTGATTATTTATATCATTTATTCATACAAATGTTAATAGGCCATAAAGGGGTAAATTTAAATGGTTAAAGTTTATCCTTTTTTTATGTATTTTTTAGTGTCGATGTTTAAATATTTGAAGTTTGATATGCAACGACAAGTATAATTTTGTTCATTCTGAGTAAGGGAATTTTATAAATAGTTTGAACAATTAGTTTAAGTTTTAGGCATGATGTGCAAATATTCAGAAAAGTATTATACTTGAAATAAACTTATCAATTTTGTTGAATACAAGTCCGATATTTTAAAATGATGTCACGAATATATAATATACTATAAATTAAGTGTTTTATGCGGTTATTTTCTCAAGGCAATAATATGGTTAGAAAGGTTGTAGGATGATGAAGAGTTAAACTATGCTACGTACGTATGACAAGGGTATGACTATTTTAGTGGTCAATAAAATGAAGGTTGTAGTGGTAGTTCGTCGTCCTTAAAAAGCTGCCATAACAGTTTGTCTTTCTTGACTGTAATTGAAAGTCGTGTTAATTTGTACTGTGTTTGACTTCTTATTATTCTACTATTTTCATCTGTAAAAATAACACCCATTTTTCTTTCAGTTGGTGTTCCAGTATTGTATTTGTATAAAAACAGTGTACCATACAGGCGAGGTTTTTTCTGTAACGATGACAGTTTACGTTACCCATACAAAGAAAACACCATATCTGACGATTTACTGCTGCTCATTGGTTTCGCTTTACCATTTGTTGTTGTAAGTAACATACAATAACATACTTTTTCAAAATATTTATTCTGTTCGCCAAACCAAGGAAGAAGTTGCATCTCCTTGACAATTTTCACTAACATAAGAACTCCCTATCTGTCAAGTTGTATGTTATCATTTTAAAGAGGTGAGATAGAACATTGATTTGTACTGGAAAGGAAACGGAAAATAGGTAATTTTGCAATTCATTTTATTCCTTAAAAAAATGAGAGAACTGTAATCTAAACTAAGTACATGTATATTGCATCTTCCTGTAACTGATATAAATAAGGCTGTTTACTTCTACGTTTCTCGGGTTTTGTAGAATATCACTAATCTTTCCTTTAAAATGTTAAGGTGGCAAATTTTAGTAGAATATTCGTTTAAAAGAAGGTTGAAATGATTTTTTTCTTAAGTTGTATAGATAAAAAACATATTCGGACATAAAAAAAAAGAAATGGAATGCCTAAATTTTTAATGTTGTATTGAAATACTCTATTCGCAAGTTTCATTTTACTATTCTATGTACCACTCGATCCATATGAACGACTCCAGTGTCCGCGTTCAAGTATTATGACCTATATTAAATTATAAAATTATAGTAAATTAGATATAAGTTAAGGTCATTTTTCAAATTACTATATCCGCTCTGTTAGTTGTCATTTGTTTTGTTTATATATCGAATAGTGAACCACAAAGTAATTTCGGTCATTGTTAGTTGAACTGAAAAGAAAATTTGTGAAAATGAATAGATTTAAAAAGGTGTTAATAATTCGTATGCAAACGACTAATACCACTGACATAAGTTTAAGCTAAAAATAGTTTGATTTATTTCTGCAATAAATTATCATAAGATACTTGAGTTTATTCATATACGATCACATAACAGGATCGTTGAATTACAGAACATATTTAAGATAAGTTTTATCTTACTTTTCTGAAACTAGACGCTTCCTGCATTGACATAAACGACGACATAAAATTACTTTTAGCTGAAGATTTACAATATGTGACAAATTTTGATTAATCCTAGTATATCACTCGTTTATTTATATGCGACTGTAGCTAGATTTTTCAGTTTGCCTCTATTTTAGAATTTTGCTTTCAGTTTATCATTAATGAATCTGAGAGATACCGGGTAACTAGAAGGACTGACCACATCAACAAATACCTGGTTGTATTTTTGAAGATCTCGTGTGCCTATGCATTTGGGTTTACTATGATAGAACTGGTAATTCAGGGAGCCAAACCAGCTATTGGACGCCTACGGCCACATTTCTTCGATGTTTGTAAACCTGATTTTTCAAAGATTGATTGCACTAAAGGGTAACTTGAGTTTCATAATTTTATTTAAATGTGATTCATTATAATTTTGCAGAAGGAAAATATAACTAAGAAAAACATGAAAAATCACAATTTTTTATATTGTCTACTCTAAGCGATCTGATTTAAAATGTCTTTGATTTCAGTTTTTGAATCCGTTTCCGTATATCACATCCTCTTACATATTGAAATGAATATTAGTTTGAATTTTCAGTAAGAGTTAATAAGAAAGAATCAAAGGAGTTCAAATGGTTAATATGACAATACTTAATGCTTTGTCGATATTGTCATTTACAGGTATATAACAGATTATAACTGTACAAATACTAACACTAGTGCTTCAGCGCATAGAGAGAGCAGATTATCATTTCCATCTGGACATGCTGGATTTGCTATGTACAGTGCTATTTTCACGTCGGTAAGTGTCCATGTTGAACATAAAGGTTTGACCTGGGATTTACAGTTCCAGCAGCTAGTGCTTAGGTTCTGGTGTGATTATAGCGTTACACATTTATTAATTAACCGTCCCCGACTGTTCCAGGAATCTAGTGCTTAGGTTCTGGTATGATTATAGCGTTACACATTAATTAACTGTCCCGGCTATTCCAGGAGCTAGTTGCTTAGGCTCTGGTGTGATTATAGCGTTACACATTAATTATCCGTCTCCAACTGTTCCTGGAGCTATTGCTTAAGTTCTGGTGTTTTTATAGCGTTACACATCAATTAACCGTCCCCGACTGTTATAGGAGCTAGTGCTTAGGTTCCGGTATGATTATAGTGTTACTCATATATTAATTAACCGCCCCGACTGTTCAAGGAGCTAGTGCTTAAGTTCTGGTGTGATTATAGCGATACACATTAATTAACCGTCCCCGACTGTTCCAGGAGCTAGTGCTTAGATTCTGGTGCGATTACAACGTAACATTTTGATGAGGGATTTCAGATTGTAAATAATGTAATTGTTCTTAAACTAAAGTTACAACTTCTTCGGGATATTGACCTTTATCCTTTATTTTGCTTTTTTGCTACGGCTTATTTTGGTTTTAATGTTCCGAATGATTTTGATATTTGGCTTCCCAGCTTGTTCGTCTCAAAAGTACTTGATGAAAGTTATTCATGAAACAACACGTGTCGCTCATACGGAAATAAGTATCTTATACTTCTACTGAAATTGTGCCTAGATCGCCCACGTAAAATGAATTCAATGTTGAAAATCGACGTGATCAAAAATACAATCGATGTTAAGACAGCCCATCTGGCAGATATAATTAACATGTCTGTTAAGAAAATACCCGGTACTTGAAAGTACAAAAGATTTTAAATTGAAAATTTAACCACACATTTCTGATTACTTAGGTGTAGGTGATGGTTGCATATACTTTGTTTTTCGCGAGGTTAATTGAGAAAATAACCTCTACCTTCTAGTCCTGATAAACCAGACATGTTAGGTTTTATCAAATCAACATTAAAAAGACTTTAATTACACAAAGTCACTTTGTATATGATAGAATAAAACGAGACTTCAAAATTAAGCTACTTTTTAAAAAAATTCTCTTTAATAACTGGTTTTCATCGATACATTTCACTTTATTGGAACAAAATTTAGAGTAACTCAAACGAATTCAAATTTATTTGGTCGTCTCTGGTGTTATAGTTAGTCATTAATGCAAAACTGTTGGAATTAATAATCTTTCAATAATATGCTTTTATTTTTTTAGTTATATATGGAAAAACAGGTAACTCTTCGATGTTCTGCTGTTGCAAAATGTTTCACTCAGACAGCAATGGTATTGTTGGCTTTAATGTGTGCTGTTACACGCCTGTATGACAACCGACATCACGTTTCAGACATTGTAGCTGGTAGCGTTTTAGGCGCCGTTATTGGATTTTATATGGTAATATTTAATTTATGTCATTCTTAAACCGTGCAAACTCTTGTAAAACAAGTATCATTTTACAGAGATCATAAAAATGATTGATAAAGATTGAGATTACATGATTTAGTTAAAGGTGTTTTACTGTTTTTCTAATACAAAATTGACCCCTAAAGATGCACTAAAAAACTAAATTTTGCTAAAATCTAGTGTAGCGTGAAACTTTCGACATTAACAACATCCTGAATATTAAATAAACAGAAAAGAAAAAAAAAATACTTAGTCGAAAATATTTTCAAATGTCGTTACTATAAGTCGTTCGCGATACAAAAATAAAATCAGACCATTTCAGACCTTTCATTCACACATGTTATATGAGATACTATAACTTAAACACTTTTTCCATATTTATTTTCTATATATAAAGAAGTCATATATGAGCTAAGCGATTAAAGACACACTTAATCAATTCATATGTGAGTATCTGATGGTAGGAGTCCTGGATTTTCTGTCGCAAATTGAGTTAAATTGTGTATCCAACCCAAAAAGACTTAAACTTGGTAGAGCTATAATAACTATTCGAATAAAAAGCCAGAAATAATGCATTTATTTTAGTTTTTAAATTATTTGATAAGTTGGCTGTGTCTGCGACATTTTGTGGCTTGTTAGTGGAAGCTTTTAGAATCACAGAAGAAAAAAAAATAAGCAATACACTTTTTAAGGTCGAAATTGAAAACATCAAAAACGCAGCTTTAGCTCTTTTTTTCTCAACAAAATGTATTTTAAATGGATGGTTTGATGTATTTCAGTTTAAGGTCCTAGGAGAGAAAGCTTTACGTTCGCGTACACTTCATTTAAAAATTCCATTTTTAATGCGAAGGCCACAACATCGAAAAGGAGAGATTTCTACGCCGACGCCACTGTTGAGTCAAACATGTTCATCGTCATCAACCACCGAGATGAACCATTACTTTATTGGTCGTGATGGAAAGGAGTCTAATTTAAGTAATGTCTGATCAAAGTAATGTGTTATATCATGTGACAAATAGACAAGAATGCTATACTTAAATTGACGGTGTCGATGGAGACGCTATTGTTATTCAAGGAAATATCAAAATCAGAAACACCATTTCCGTTGTAGGAATTTCTTCCTGGGATTTTTTTTTTTTAATAAATTTTCTTCTGTGAAATGTGCCGTTTTCAAAAAACAATACAAACCTATAAATGAATCTACGCAATTACACGTCATCGATGACACGTTTTATTGTGTGATTAGAAACTAATATGGTGAAAGAAGAATACATTTTAAAGAACAAAGTATCAATTACACATATGAACAAGAAAATCAGATGCGATAGCATAAACGGAACAATTATGGAGATATAACCACATTTTCCCATAACTCCAATAAAGACTCAAAATAAACGTCAAAAGATTAACAAATAGTAGAATTTCGTACTCTACATGCGCTGCTACAGAACGCATGTGTTCCATTAGTACAATAATCATCTAAAAGAATCGACAGATTTGTAAATATAAAGTTGTTATACTCTTTCATAATATTTATGTGACTTGTTACAATGATTTTTTAATAAAAGAAGAAATTGAATGCATGTATCATGTATGTAACATCTTTTAAATATTACGTAACTGTTTTTCCAATATAAAAACTTCTCCCACACACTATTTGTACACTTGCGGGTTTATCTTTAAGTACAGATTATATCACAACATCTACTATGAGGTGGTCTTTCAACATTATTATGAATATTTATAAATAATATTGAATAAGAAGGAAATTCCAAACCAAAACTAAAATAATAGCCTGGCGAAGGAATGGAATATTAAGGAAACAGTACATTATCGATGTTCAACTCTCATAAATTGATTAAGAAGGGACAAATCAAGGAAGAAAAGAAAAACAAAAAGAAAACTGAGGAAATCGCATAAACTCTAAAGGAGCGAGACCGGGTGCGTCGACAGGGAAGCAGATCGCGAAAATATGTCGCAAGTGAGCTGAGACACCGACACATCGTATAGGTCAACCAATTCGTGATGGCGACTGTAAAACGTATGTAGTGTCTATTTCAGTCGTTGTCGTCCTTCCTCAAACCTCTGTTGGAGCAGTTTTTGTGTTAGCAGCACACCCCTGTTAATGAAGTCCATATAGGGTAACATTTACGAGCGTAACGTTTTAACAGAGATATGTTAACGCCATACAATAGAGAAGGGTGTATAATTTATGTTACTGCTGAAAAATGGAAAGTTGACAATTAGAAAGTTCAAATCATTACGTTTGTCATAGATTCTAGTTTGGAGTCGCCAAAATGTGTCAATATCGATAAAAAGATTAAACATGAAGCAAACCTTCTACTTTCGACATTGTACCTAATCTCAAGTTCAATGGGATACATGAGATGTAAGCACCGAGTGACAGAACATTATCGATAGATCTAAAAGAGAAATTCCAGAAAGATGCCTTCTTTTCTTTGAGAAGGTTCTGTATGAACCCTGCTTCAAGCGGTCAGTAGTCATGCGCAATGAGTACCTATATTACCTTTTAAGATAAACTCCACTTCATTTTTGCTCCGGAATTCCGTCGATACAAATTTTACAAAGACATAGAATTTGTAATAATGTAACAAATTTTTCTAACATGATAAATGTAAAAATATGGAAAATATTCAAACAATTCATTTAAACTCATAAATATTCGTATTCACCTAGGTTTCATTAACCTTCCGATTTTGTCCGTCTGATTGAAATAAGAGTTGTAGGCATTCGTGAAATGCTTTGTATGTTTTTTTAAAACATTTTAAACAGGAGAGAAGAAACCAAGGGACAAACCAAAATCTACAAGTTGAAAAACAAAACAGACAACATAAAATCCAATAGAAAAGCGCAAAAAAATAAACACCAATCAACAAAACACTAAACAGAAAAATTAAGATTGAGCGACACGAACTCCATAAAAAACTGGAAAAGTGTAGCAATTCCTGCTCCACTAGTGGCACCTGTTGTGTTGCACATAGCAAATAAAACAAACAAGTCACATTAATTATATCACATTCGATGACAAAGAGGATGGAATCGTGGCTACGACAAAAGCAGCATATCTATGATAAGCTCTTACTGAAATATTCCATAAAGGCTTCCGTAAAAATTTCGAAAGGGGTAACAATTTCAGATTAAGAATCTGTGAAATTTAAATAATAGGCTAACCAGATGATTAACTTTTGTGAAAAGATAACTGTAAAATGTTAGCCGCTCGACACAATAAAACCATTCTTGTCTCATTCCTAATTTTTTTCATAAATGTATAGTGACATTGATTTGAAAGTCGATATTTACATTCAGAAACCCTGATAATGTATAGATAATGAAAGCCATCATATCGAGTATAAGTAAGACTGGGGAGTTTATATTGTAAGGTCATAACCGAACGTGATACCTATTCAAAAACAATGTAATATATCACAGTCTTTGTTGAAATACCATTAGGTTAGTTTGATGATGTATTACTATGCGCTGAACTATACCATACAAAATGTTTTTATTATGTAGCTCAAAGAAAAATTGAAAAGCATAAAACAGAATTACTAAATTGTAGTCATGTGATGAACTAAGAATATCTTTGTTTATTGACTGGCTAAGCCAGATATATATTTGCACGTTTTAAAAACATTTAAGGTTCGAAGTACTTTTAGTTTTTATTCACTAACTGCGAGCTCGAGTATTCTTTAATACGTTGATTGTTTTTTTTCATTGTTTTAGTGTTTTTGTGACCCATTAACTGGCATGATGGAGTAATAGATATCTGATGTATCTTTTCTAATTCCGATGAAATTTTTGGGTAAATTATATTAAATTGAAATGTAATTAATCAATAGACCATGATTGGAACCATAACTAAAAGCCCAAATAATGGATTTTTATTGGAGCAAATATTTTAACTGATTTAGAAATAAATGTTCAAATAGCCAAATGTCATATCACATCTCCATATTTTTATAATAATTTTCTAACACACCTGTGTTCCCGTAAACGCTTCCAATCTTTTTATATTTTAGGTAAAGTTTCAGGTATTACTTGTATCGTCTTCATTGTACCTGGCTTCGAAGAAATACTGTTTGATTCACTTTAGGGTAACTTGAAATATGGAATACGATGATAAAAACTTTGTTCTCTTGCCATGTTTATTCCCATTGTATTACTAGTATATTAACGTATGATATCGAGTTGAGTTCGAAAACTGATGGTTTCTGGAATGAATTGATTAGTGGCGCTTCTAGACCAAAGTTTGGAAAGCCTAGTATATAATAGCATTTGAGATTTATTTTATTTTCAAAGTCCACATGGTACAAATTTTCTTCGAAATATATCTTACAAGTATAGCTTTATTTACTTTAGCAGGATATTAATGATTTCATTACTAATGTTAAAAGCTCGTGAGGTCATAGACTATGCTTACTATTAACAGTAATAATACTGAATAAAGATTTCTGCGTTTATTCAAAGGGTATGAACCTTCAACGATAAGACGTTTTATCTGTATTTACCAAACGATGAAATGGGCAGACTTCAAAAAGCAAGCCACGAAACAAGCTTAATTAAGATAACTGTACCTAATCACAGAATCAATTATAATTTATTCTGTTGTAAAATGATAACTTGAGGTTAAGACGTGGACAAACAGCTAAACATCGCTTTTCAACGTTCAGAGGTTATAAATGTTCACCAGCCACACTCAGCTGATGCAGAGCTAATTAAGCTTATTATGAAGCTGTATCAGAAACAGAAGAAATGTTTTTCTGATAAAAAAAAGCAATATTGTGTCCATCTGCAACATAACCCCAAATTCAATAGTACAACATCACCTCACCACAACTGATGCAAACACGCACCCTTCCAAAAGGTGGAATTTAAAATTTATTACAGATGAGATAAAGAGTTGAGACGTTATATCACCTGTATATTTTACCTGTTTGGCCAGTCCCGAAGAAGAATTGAAATGCATCATGATAGAATGGATTTCGCTATACTCGAAAACAGTAAAAATCGCTTACTAAACAGAAAGCATGTTAAAAACCTGGTCCTAAAGGGGCATTTGACACAATTTAGATAAACATTTAAACGCGATGTGTTTTTGTTTTGTTTCAAACATTTATAAATGCGGAATTTTTAAATAATTAGTCGCTATTATCAGTCACTTTGGTTCAATTTTGTCAAAATATTAAGCTCAAAAACATCGCTGATGTAATATTGGCTTGCAAGTCAATAATTCAACATCATTAGAATCTGTATTCATACGACCTTCAATTTGACCCTTAACTGGAGATGGGCTACGCATGTGCTAAGGGGCCGTGCATTTTTTATCAGGCAGGTGGGACCGGTGCAAACCACAGTTGGACAAACACATTTTTCATCCACTTCAGGCATAGGGTCTCCACTTTTTTCACCTTTGGTGACCATAGGACATGCATATTTATTCAAATATTTCGAAAAGGAGTTCCATATCCTATCAATATTTTTTGCTTATCCCTGTGAATTTGAACTCTTTTTAAAAAAGTGCATGATTATCTTAGTATCTTTATAGATTTTGACAATTCAGGGGCAATAATTATAACTCTATGACCTGTTATCTAATTTCCCTGATATTTTTTATGAATGTCATGATTCAGTAGAGATCTTATCTTGAAGAAAATACTGTGTTTTTGCAATTTATATTGATCATCTACCTTTTATATACATGTATACAATTTTCAAAATACCCTATTAAGGAATTAATGCAAAATTTATCATTAAGGGGCAATAACTCTTAGACTAGTAAGCATATTATCATATGCAGAATGCTTTCATTATATTCCCAGTAGATCTGGTCTTAATAACACAGCATGTTTAAATTAGTAGAGGAAATAATTCAAACCACAATAAGAGGGCGTAGAATTTCAGTGCCAGCTAGACCTAGAGACTAACTATTTAAGGATGTCAGGTTTTGGAATTTTTCCTTTGATACAGGGTAAAATATTTTGCCCCATATCACCCACTTTACTTTTCATAGAAGGCTTCAATAAGTCATAAAAGTAATTTGACAAAATTAAAGCAGATTCTAGATTTCCTTTCTTACGATTTGAAGCCCAAATAATGCCAATGCCAATTAAAAGGTAAAAATCCAAGAAAGATTTTCTTCCCATTTTTTAAACATCAAATATCTCCTTATAAGATCTTATAAACTTAATATGCTTTTCTGATTTATAGTATCAATTTTAAATTCCAGATTTTTAAAATTTCACAATCTTAAATGTCTTTTTTATTGTATTATTGATCATGTACATACTTAAACAACAATATGCAAAAACAGTTTTCATTTATTACTACAGGAAAAGCAACCATCACCAAGGACATCTTATCACTTAGTGCCAGATTAATTCAGATAAAGTTAATGAACACATACTTTTTTCTGCATGCAAGTCATAGGACATTGAGTTTTTACAGCCCAAATCAGTATAGGACATTCACTTTTTTTTGTCATAACCAGAATTTGCACTGGTCCCACCTGCCTGATAAATATTGCACGGTCCCTAAGCATGTTCTGTTATTAAAAAGAAA